TAGACTCGAGCCGGCGTCCACACCGGCAAAAGCCGGCGTCCATCGAGGTATCAAAAATAAGAATACGGACGAGACTTCTAGAGACGTTAGTCTATAATATTCTTTGCTAATACGCATTGAATTTTCACAGATGTGTACTTCCGAGTAATTTCCACGAGGGCGTGGAGAACGGTAGCGTAGCCGACTGTTATCTACAGAAAAAAAGTCAGAAGGGAACGTTTACGTCCATCATAAAACGGACCCAACCACCACCTAATAGCACCACCGAACCAGGGGATCGAAGGGTAGCAAGTTTCAGCTTGCTGGCATTCGAGATTTTGGTCGTCGGCAACGAGTACCGTTTTCTTTATTGTTTTCTTGTGGAATATATTTGCTTTTCGATTTGTCTAAATTCCGTAGTTTTATTTGCTCTACGCGTATTTATTATATGTAATTGGTTGTATTTCGAATAAATTTCTAGTATGGTTGTGAATTAACACACGTTTATTTTCGTATCTTTCACGCAATAACTGGATAGCTATTCTGTAATTAGATTCGCAAATTTCTAATGGCTGTAAAACTTGAGTTGCTTCTCCGCGACTGTAAGTAGTAAAATTTCTGAATTTCGTTTAAATCCCGATTTTTATCAACCAACGCTTGAAAAACTTCGAAAAAATGTAGCCAGCCCTCGTAGGAACCGCTAAATTTGGAAAGTGAAATAGATGGTAATTTAACTTTATCTGAGATGACCGATTGATTTGATTGTGATACGTTTGCATTGATATGTGCGCTAGCACTCTGTGACAGCAATAAGTTTCGATCATATTGCTCGATACGCTCGACCGCTTGCGATGCGTAGTGATAATATTCATCTTCAAACGTTTCTCTCTCGGGCTCCTGTGCAGGATCCAACTCCTCGAGTGCTGACTGAACCGATTCAAACTCCCGAAACGCGGTTTCAAGATTCCCTAAGCGCAATTTTAACGTTGTAATACTCAGATTTGGACCATTAAAATAAGTCTTGAAACGTGTCAAAACTGATTTTAGTTATCCTCTACGAGTTTTAAGTTTTTTAATGTGTTCTGTTTTTGTATCCACGATTGCTGAATGATCGCTAATATCGCCCCCGTCATCGGACATTATGGGAGCTGTTCTTAATTTAATTACGTGAGAACCAATTTAATGAATAAAACTTTAATTCAAAATAGCATAACCCTCTCACACAAATTTTGACATGCGAGTAGGTAAAATTAGTCAGGTATGAAATATAAATAAAAATTTACTTAACAAAATGGAAAGACCTACTTGTTTCGTTTTTTTCCCTTTTGGCGCAACTGTCACCTTTCGATAAATCTCATATTTTAATTGTTCTCAGGACTCTCTTCTGTATTACAAAAACCTTTTGTGTACCGCTGTTAGTACCCCAAAACATTATGCCATACCTCAAAATGGATTCAAAATATTTGCATAATAAATCATTCTTAGACTGCTTCCGTTCATGTACCTTCCTACAACCCTAATTCCATAACAAATCGAGTTAAGCCTTTGCATTGACCGCTGTATATGTGCAGTCCAGTCCAAAAACTCATCCAAATGAATTCCTAAAAATTTTGTGTCTGTCACTAATTCAATCTCATTTTCTCCAATATTCACTTTTAGTGGCTTATCAATATTGCATTGCTTTGTTCTAAGGAACAAGATGTTCGTTTTATTTTTATTCAGAAGCAGTTTATTTTCAGAAAACCAGCCCTCAGCCCTACCAAACAAAGATGACCCTTCTGATATGAGTTCTGGCATATTTTTGGCGTCAGTAATTAGATTGGTATCATCTGCATAACATGTGATGTGCTCGTTTGGGTGATTTGCTATGGAATACAGGTCATTTAAAAATATTACAAACAAAATGGGTCCAGCTATACTACCTTGAGCAATTCCAATTTTATTTTCGATGGGGTTTGAAAAATATGTTTGTCCATTTTTCACAATTTTAACTCTCTGAATTCTACCTGTGACAACCGGTGTGAAGTTAGCAGCCGTTTTCCAGCAGCCAAAATTGTGAAGTTAGCAGCCATTTTAGCAGCCAAAAATGTGAAGTTAGCAGCCATTTTCAGCAGCCTTTTTTTATTCATATTGAAGGTAGTTTCATTCATGTATATGGTAGTTTCCTCAAACCAACATGATGTGAGGAGGCTGTTAGGACACAAAAAAATACATTCAAAAATTTAATAACGTAAAATATGATTAACTTATGAATCCTTTAACACAGCTTATTAGGGCGATAAATGGTGCTTAATCTTCAATCTAAACCTTCGAGCTTTCACGATCCGTTAGGAGGGTTAAAAAAAACCACCCCCATATGTTGAAAAAATCGCGGAAAAATAGTAAAAAATTGTGTGCGTTGATAAAACTTTGCACACAGCTCATTGAGGTGTTGATGAGCCTACAAAATGAAGGACAGCCCCTTACGACCCGTCAGGGTAGGAAAAAACCACCCCCATATGCTAAAAAAATCGCGGAAAAATAGTAAAAAATTGTGTGCGTTGATAAAACTTTGCACACAGCTCATTGAGGCGGTGATGAACCTACAATAAAGAATCATTATACAATAGGATTGAAAAATTTCAAACCACTCAAATACGGCTTCTGCTCTAGAATCCTGAAAAAGCTGATAAATCAGAAGAAATAGAATTAGTTTATTTTCTAATTTGTGTTAAAATAAAGGCACATATTTCTAAGGGTTCAAGTACAAATAGCAATGGTAATATCGTAAATACAAGCAGTAAACCTTCAGCATCAGATATAATTAGTAGTTCCATTTCTAATACTAAACTACCGCATATTGACACCTCATTTTGATGGAAAAAATTTGAATAACTGCAAGCCTTTTGTAGAAATTTTAATGGCTGTTATCGATAAAATTCAGACTTTGTCTGAAAAGTAGAAAAATATTCTAGAAGTTGTAAAAAAGTACACCCATTGCTTCAAGAGAGTTTATGAGCCAGATCAAACAACAATTCGGTGCTTTGAAAAATTTAAGAAAGCCGATAGATCAATGGGACATGATCTTGATATGTTTTCTAAAGTAAAAAATCAGATCAGTTCACTAATAGATTTTATCAAATGTACAGAGACACATCAAACTTGCCACTTCAAATGAGCTTTTGAATTATTTAGGAAGTAGGGTTAGTGCATCAGGAGCTAGTGGTTCTGTCCCTGTCGACAGAGGCATTCAAAAGTCACAATTTGTCATTTAACTCTGGAAAATGGTAAAAACCCTAACGGGTTATTTTTCATTTTTGTAGGTTCATAACCACTTCAATGAGCTGTGTGCAAAGTTTTATTACCGCACACAATTTTTGACAATTTTTCTGTGATTTTTTCAACAGATGGGGATAGTTTTCTCCTACCCTGACAGGCCGTAACGGGTTGTCCTTCATTTTGTAGGTTCATCAACATCTCAATGAGCTCTGTGCAAAGTTTTATTAACGCACACAATTTTTTACTATTTTTCTGCGATTTTTTCAACATATGAGGGTGGTTTTTTCCTATCCTGACGGGTCGTAAAGAGTTGTCCTTCGTTTTATAGGTTCATTAGCAGCTCAATGAGCTGTGTGTAAAGTTTTATCAACGCACACAATTTTTTACTATTTTTCTGCGATTTTTTCAACATATGAGGGTGGTTTTTTCCTATCCTGACGGGTCGTAAGGAGTTGTCCTCCGTTTTACAGGTTCATTAGTACCTAAATGAGCTGTGGGCAAAGTTTTATCAACGCACACAATTTTTTACTATTTTTCTGCGATTTTTTTAACATATGGGGGTGGTTTTTTGAAGTTTTTTCCTACCCTGACGGGTCGTAAGGGGTTGTCCTTCGTTTTATAGGTTCATTAGCACCTCAATGAGCTGTGTGCAAAGTTTTATTAACGCACACAATTTTTTACTATTTTTCCGCGATTTTTTCAACAAATGGGGGTGGTTTTTTTTAACCCTGACGGATCGTGAAGGCTCGAAGGTTTAGATTGAAGATTAAGCACCATTTATCACTCTAATAAGCTGTGTTAAAGGATTCATAAGTTAATCATATTTTATGTTATTAAATTTTTGAATGTATTTTTTTGTGTCCTAACAGCCTCCTCACATCATGTTGGTTTGAGGAAACTACCATAGACATTAATGAAACTACCTTCACGTTGAAAAAATATAAATAAAAAAGGCTGCTGAAAATGGCTGCTAACCACATTTTTGGCTGCTAAAAATGGCTGCTAACTTCACAATTTTGGCTGCTGGAAAACGGCTGCTAACTTCACACCGGTCTCAAAAACTGGGTGGGGCGTTTGCTGCAAAAATATTAAATCTCATGGGTTTTGGACTGACAGGGAAAAAATATTCCATATTAACTATCTGGAACTAGTAGCAGCCTTTTTCGCCTTAAAATGTTTTGCGAAAACAATCTCTAATTGCAATATTCTGCTAAGAATAGATAACTCGACAGCAATTTCCTATATAAACAGGATGGGCAGCGTACAATTTCCACTTTTAAGCAACCTAATTAGAGAAATTTGGCAATTGTGCGAACAAAGAAATCCTTTCATTTATGCATCTTATAGGTATTAGTTCTTCAAGTAATACAGAAGCAGATAAAGAATCCCGTAACCTGAATAAAGAAACAGAATGGGAACTCAATAATCACTATTTTAACAAAATTTTACAATCTTTTCAAAAACCAAGTATAGATTTGTTCGCTAGCAGACATAACACAAAATTGCCAAAGTATGTATCGTGGTTGCGAGATCCAGATAGTTACATCATCGACGCATTTACACTAGATTGGCATGATATTTATTTCTATGCTTTCCCACCTTTTTCCATGATCTCGAAAGTACTTAAAAAGATAATAGATGACAGAGCGGAAGGTATAGTAGTTATACCATACTGGACCTCTCAACCGTGGTATCCACTCTTCAATAGCTTATTGATTTCAAAACTCTTAATTTTCCCACCGAATGAAAATCTCCTTTTATCTTATCAAACAAATTTATTTTACATTAATAATAAACAAGCATATAACAAAAATATAATGATATTTTACATAAATTCTTGAAATACAAAATTATTGATTTTTCTTTTACATCTTAAAGCTATTTCAGTAGTGATTATTTACAAAGTTTCAATTTAAATTATCCTCATCATTTGTCCAAAAGACAATTATTTTTAGCAGTTTAGTCCAAGTTCAAAAGGCACGACCAAATCCTCCTTGTGGTCGACCCGAATGTCGTTTATCGCGCTGACAGCTGCCAATAGTGATGTCGTCATCAAATGACGATCTTCGCGGTTCAGCAAATCGCCAGAGAGTATTTTTTCGGGTTGCGGAACGTCTTCGAGCAAGCAACTTTTCAAACTATTGGCTAGAGCTCCTCTGTTGCCTGCCAATACCTGATTTATTTTGATGTTGTACATTTTTACTCGTTCCATGTACTCTTGCTGTTGGAGATTGTACGAATCGATGGCAAAAACGTCAATGACATTTCTGGAAATGGAAATTCAATATTAGGCAATTTTTCGTGAGGATAATCAAACATAATTTGATTATGCTCTGGGTTATGTGATGCGTCAATTGTGTCATACTCCCCTAACTCCTCCACCATTAAATTGTGGGCCTGCCAGTGACGTCACTATCAGCAGCTTATAGCGATGACGTCATCCGCAGAACTCGATGGAACGCTTGCGTTTCAAGCTGTGCTAGTGAGATTTTAAATGTAGAAGAAGTGGTTTTTGGTTTGTTCTCACCGAAGAAATTAAGTTTTCTTGATCCTCGAGTATCACAGAATTTGATGGTGGGGGAGTTAGGGGAGTATGACACAATTGACACATCACATAATCCAGCAAAAGATGCTTGATTATCCTCCCAAAAAATTGCCCATTGATGCCTTTTTTTTAGTTAAGAAAGTAAGAATTCTTACGTAGCTAACTCTTCTAGTATACTAGTAACTGGTGATTGTTCGTCAGTCTTTTTGGGGGCGTCATTTGAATTTCTAATTAGAAGATTTGCACTGGAAAAAAAATCGTAACTGTCAAATTATTCAAAAATTTAACAGTTATTAAAGTGAGAGTGTATTTTTTAATGCAAAAAATTGACAACTGTAAAAATCATGTGCTCAATGTTTTTGTGATGACGTAATAACTCATTTTGAACCAGCCTTAACAGCTGTCAAAGTTGAATACAATCAAGATCAAAGTTGCTAGTTAGCCCTGCGTTTTTATTCCCATGAAATTTTACCAATGAATCCATATGATTCTATGTCAGTTATTGTCATTTTCCATTCACTAAACAAAGATAGCTAATTCATTGGTGAAGTCACTGACAAGAATAAAAACGAGGAATAACTGAAAAATCCTAGAGTTAACCAAGGATTAACAGTTCAGTAACCTTTTTAGTTTGTAATTCTTGTTCTGACAAAATCTAAAGTTGCTGTTAACTAACAGAGGCAAGCAGTATTTGCCCTATCCAATGATACTATGGTAAAAAATGAACAAAAATTACAATTTTTTCTGTTCTTACCTGCTAACCCTCTGTATATGGATGTTATTTGATATGGGGTCGACTAGTAAGTGTGTCCTTTCATTGGGTTCACCGTTCTGGGTGATAAAAACAGTGATAAAATAAAGCATAAATCAACAAAGTACCTACAAAGGCAAAGAATTCGTTGTGACGTATTACCTGTGAAGAGTTGTCATATTTGCATAGCAAACTCCAGCAACATCCCATTATTTACTGATTTTAGCACCGTTTTTTGCTGAATTTTTATGAACTTTATTGTGTATAAAACACCCATTTGTATTTTTTTATTTTTTATTTATATTTGTTGGCTGGCAAGTGCCAAAGTTAATGAACTGTCAGATGAAGGGCTTTGTTTGCGAAACACGCTCCGAACATGTTCGGAATTGATCCAGGATTGTCGTATAGTGCAAGATACGGAGTAGAGTTAATTGAGCTCACTAAAAGTTCAACTTGTCCTAACATGTTTGGTTTATCAAGAATCTGATCTAAATCCACTCCAGGTTTCTACTCATATTTGCTAGAACAATGACATCAAAACACAGATAGACCGAACAATAAACAAAATTTTCGTATGACAACATCTCTCTGTCTCTTTTGGGTCTTTGTGCTATCCCCACCACTGAGAATGCCAAATTTTGTCTTGAAACCCTAAATAATATATTTTTATCCTTTTCTAATTAACGTTTTCAATTTTATTTCTGAACTCAATTTGGCAACAGCAGATTGTAGCAAAACACCGCCCAGAAGCGGCTTGTTGAATGGCAGGCAGGTGTTTGTTGGAGTAGCTAGCTATCTTTATCGCAAACAGGGATTATTTATTAGCGTTAAATAAGAAACGACCGATACGATATTGGTACTCCCAGAATAAAGGGCTCGTATCGAATATTTTCAGTTTATTTGTCAATTTGTTATTTTATTTATTCATCCAATTAAATTTCGAGATATATTCACGTGTAGGCGGGGTTTTTTACACCATTTTGAGCAATGATGTCTCCCTACCCCGACCCCGCGAGCAACTCACCTCCCCTGGCCCATGGGTGGTCTTGTCAACACAACAAATAACAGTTTATGAATGGGATGATCCGTCTATCTGTGTTTTGATGTCATTGTGCTAGACCTACGTTTTGAAGAGAATACAGTTCCTATATGAATGTCCATATTTGTTTAGAGCAGATCGAGCAGGTACAAATGAAAACCGTTGATATAAATTGCCATTCGCCAATATGACAGTTTTGGCATAGCATTTGTTGAAATTGAATTTTTTGGGTTCATTTTTGAGCTCTAGGCATCACATACTTTCTTTTTTTGTTTTTTGTAATTATTTTCTCAGTTTTCCCCTTGAAAATGTAAAAAAACCTTAAAACATGTTGAACCAAGTGAATATCGAGGCCGTCTATTCGGCCACCTACGTGGAAAACTATTTAGATTGTGTGGAGCAGTAAATATTTATTTACCGCTAGCAGAATGAGTCTATATCATAATATAGACCGATTTAGACCATTATTGACACTTCTTGACTGGTAAATATTTATTTACCGCCAGCAGAATAAATTTAGATCAAAATATAGACCGGTTTAGACCATTATGGACACTTCTTGCCTGGTGAGGATAATCAAACATAATTTGATTATGCTCTGGGTTATGTGATGCGTCAATTGTGTCATACTCCCCTAACTCCTCCACCATTAAATCGTGGGCCTGCCAGTGACGTCACTATCAGCAGCTTATAGCGATGACGTCATCCGCAGACCTCGATGGAACGCTTGCGTTTCAGGCTGTGCTAGTGAGATTTTAAATGTAGAAGAAGTGGTTTTTGGTTTGTTCTCACCGAAGAAATTAAGTTTTCTTGATCCTCGAGTATCACAGAATTTGATGGTGGGGGAGTTAGGGGAGTATGACACAATTGACACATCACATAATCCAGCAAACGATGCTTGATTATCCTCCCAAAAAATTGCCTATTGATGCCTTTTTTTTAGTTAAGAAAATAAGAATTCTTACGTAGCTAACTCTGGTAGTATCCTAGTAAGTGGTGATTGTTCGTCAGTCTTTTTGGGGGCGTCATTTGAATTTCTACTTGGAAGATTTTCACTAGAAAAAAATAGATCGATTTAGACCATTATGGACACTTCTTGCCTGGTGAGGATAATCAAACATAATTTGATTATGCTCTGGGTTATGTGATGCGTCAACTGTGTCATACTCCCCTAACTCCTCCACCATTAAATTGTGGGCCTGCCAGTGACGTTACTATCAGCAGCTTATAGCGATGACGTCATCCGCAGACCTCGATGGAACGCTTGCGTTTCAGGCTGTGCTAGTGAGATTTTAAATGTAGAAGAAGTGGTTTTTGGTTTGTTCTCACCGAAGAAATTAACTTTTCTTGATCCTCGAGTATCACAGAATTTGATGGTGGGGGAGTTAGGGGAGTATGACACAATTGACACATCACATAATCCAGCAAAAGATGCTTGATTATCCTCCCAAAAAATTGCCTATTGATGCCTTTTTTTTAGTTAAGAAAGTAAGAATTCTTACGTAGCTAACTCTGGTAGTATCCTAGTAAGTGGTGATTGTTCGTCAGTCTTTTTGGGGGCGTCATTTGAATTTCTACTTAGAAGATTTTCACTAGAAAAAAATAGATCGATTTAGACCATTATGGACACTTCTTGCCTGGTGAGGATAATCAAACATAATTTGATTATGCTCTGGGTTATGTGATGCGTCAACTGTGTCATACTCCCCTAACTCCTCCACCATTAAATTGTGGGCCTTCCAGTGACGTCACTATCAGCAGCTTATAGCGATGACGTCATCCGCAGACCTCGATGGAACGCTTGCGTTTCAGGCTGTGCTAGTGAGATTTTAAATGTAGAAGAAGTGGTTTTTGGTTTGTTCTCACCGAAGAAATTAACCTTTCTTGATGCTCGAGTATCACTGAATTTGATCGTGGGGGAGTTAGGGGAGTATGACACAATTGACACATCACATAATCCAGCAAAAGATGCTTGATTACCCTCCCAAAAAATTGCCTATTGATGCCTTTTTTTTAGTTAAGAAAGTAAGAATTCTTACGTAGCTAACTCTGGTAGTATCCTAGTAAGTGGTGATTGTTCGTCAGTCTTTTTGGGGGCGTCATTTGAATTTCTACTTAGAATATTTTCACTAGAAAAAAAATCGCAACTGTCAAATTATTCAAAAATTTAACAGTTATTAGAGTGAGAGTGTATTTTTTAATGCAAAAAATTGACAACTGTAAAAATCATGTGCTGAATGTTTTTGTGATGACGTAATAGCTCATTTTGAACCAGCCTTAACTGTTTACAGCTGTCAAAGTTGAATACAATCAAGATCAAAGTTGCTGGTTAGCCCTGCGTTTTTATTCCCATGAAATTTTACCAATGAATTCATATGATTCTATGTCAGTTATTGTCATTTTCCATTCACTAAACAAAGATAGCTAATTCATTGGTGAAGTCACTGACAAGAATAAAAACGAGGAATAACTGAAAAATCCTAGAGTTAAAAGAGGCCTTGGTACCTCTGTGCGACGGGTTAAACTATTTTTTGATTTACGTCCAAAGAATTGGATCAAAATCATTGAAATTTGGTGGGATGATAGATGATGAATCACAGAAGAATGAAAAGTAATTTTTTATAGAAAAAAGTAATTCTAAAAATTATCTCGCCTCTCAAAAAAAAAAAGATTGGAATATAAAATACTTCTCACATTTCTATGTTAAAATACTAACATTTTTTACCAATATAATTTTTTTGTTAAACACGTATATTCTTGTTAAACATAAAAAAACAGAAAATGTATTATTTCGGATCAATTCCTGCAATCGCAACTACATATTCTATGGCATGGCAACACTGAGAACTGCCCCGCCAACCCCCGGCCGGCCGGCGCTTCGACAACATCCCGGGAATAAAATAATATTTATTCTTATCTCAATAATTGTTTTGACCATTCCGTGCCGTCGAAGAGTTTTTGCATTGCCTTATGTGTTTTGAAAATAAACTGGGTAAAACCTTTGGTACAACTTCAGAAATTTTTGATAGGAAAAGATTACGTTTATCTACTGAACGTAAAAATTGACGACTTCCTATAAAAAAAATCTAGGTGAAATGGTAATATTAAGTACATTATTTAATATAATTAATAGGTGTGGTAACTAGGTAATTACCGCACGCGAGAGAAATTTGCAATCTCTAAAGGCGGTAATAGCCTAATTACCATACCTATTATACAGTATTTTATCTACAATCATGCGGGAACAAAATATCTAAAAGAAGCTTAAAGAATGATGAAAAAAATGAACCTTTCACTTTTGACAGTGAAAAAGTAGAATTTAGGTGATAGGTATCGGTAATATATCTTTGGTAGGCGATTGAAGGTATTACGTACCTATGTGGATAGAGCGTGCGGTAATAATATTATCGCATGCCGTGCGGTAGAGTGCACTTTACCGCACGTATTTGCAAATGGAAAGTATCACTTTACCGGACACTATGCGGTAAAGTGCACTTTACCGCATAGTGTGCGGTAAAGTCAACTTTACAGCATAGTATGCGGTAAAGTAGAACACAAAGTGTGCGGTAAAGTGCACTTTACCACATAGTGTGCGGTAAAGTAGAATTTGATATTTATATTCAAAAATCCTCTTTTTTTCAGAAAATGGATTTTTGATCATTTCTAAATTTTATCTAATTTAATTAATTAATCTGAACCATTAATTAATTTGATCAATGCCTTTTTTTTGGAGTTGTAGATGCTCATAGGTAAAATTTTGTACCTAACACATGCGGAAAGTGCCTTTACCGCCCTTAACGGCTTGACCGAACTCCGCTTCGCGTCGTTGCGTGCGGTAAAGTATCACTTTCCGCATTTGTTAGGTAAATAACTATAATCGCATAGTATGCGGTAAAGTGGACTGCAAGTGTGCGGTAAAGTTAACTTTACCGCATGGTATGCGGTAAAGTAGATTTTGGTATTTATGATGAAAAATCCTTTTTTTTTTCAGAAAATGGATTTTTGATCATTTCTAAATCTAATCTAATTTCATTAATTAATCTGATTCATTAATTAATTTTAGTAATGCCTTTTTTTGGAGATGTTCATAGGTGAAATTTTGTACCTAACACATGCGGAAAGTGCCTTTACTGCCCTTAAGGGCTTGACCGAACTCCGCTTCGCGTCGTTCCGTCAACTGCCGTTGCGTGCGGTAAAGTATCACTTTCTGCATTTGTTAGGTAAATAACTATTACCGCATAGTGTGCAGTAAAGTAGACTTTGGTATTTATAATCAAAAATACCTTGTTTTCCAGAAAAGAGATTTTTTGTCATTTTTAAATCTAATTCAATTTTATTAATTAATCTAATTCATTAAATAATTTAATTGATGCCTTTTTTTTGGGGGGGTGTAGGTAAAATTTTGTACCTAATACATGCGGAAAGTGCCTCTACCGCCCTCAACGGCTTGACCGAACTTCGCTTCGCGACATTCAATCAGTGCTACTTTCTATTTACAAATAAGTGCGGTAAAGGTGTTTACCGCACCTTCGTAGGTAATAGTTATTTATATCACAAGTGCGGTATGAATGTATGAACTTCATTTATTACAGTAAAGAGTGGTAATCACACGAGTGGTGTAATGAGCGTTACCACACGTGTGATATACAGCATTTTATGTATGACGCAGATTTTTTTGTATGTATTCCAAATTGGTTTTATTTTCCACAAAAGATTAAATTTATAACTTTTCCGAATAAATTAATTTTAAAAAATGCCGTTTTTCAATGAAAATGAATTACGTAATGAGCGCATTACATCACAAGTGATTTATATTACATCACTAGTGATGTAATGAGCTGATTACATCACTAAGTACGATAATACAACTTATTACGTAACTCAAACACTCAAACAGGCTTAAATGAGTTACGTGATAAGCTCTTACAGTGTGGGTCGTACATAAAAATTCTTTACCGCAGTGCTGTAATAGTATATTACAAAACAAGTGTGGTATTTAGGTTATTACCGCACACGGGAGAAATTTGCCAACCGAGCCGGTGAGGCGAGCTTTGCAATCTCTAAGGGCGGACATAATCTAATTAGTAATTACCATACGAATTATATACAGTATTTTATTTACAACCGTGCGGTAGCAAAATATTTGATAGAAGTTTGGAAAAGTATAGAAAATAAAATTGCTTCTGGCACATTAATTTGACAGTGGACGGGTAGAATTTAGGTGATAGGTAGGTAATTGAAGGCATGCGGTAATAATATTACCACACGCTATTACAGCACGTCATGCGGTAATAAAATTACCACACGTCGTGCGGTTATATGGTACATACCGCACGCAAAATCGTGTGATATAACTTAGTTACCGCACGCTCATAGATGAAACTTCTTTACCGCACTCTTTTAAAAATACGTTTGATAGTGTTCATATTCTTTATTAATGTACACTAAGTGCTGTAAAAATTCGTAGGAAAAATTTTGTTCCCAACATGTGCGCAAAGTGTCTTTTCCTCGTCCAAAAACTTATCCGAACTCCGCTTGACGTCGTTCGTATAAAGTCTGTTTTTTTTTTAAAGATAAAAGTCAAAATGACATTATGTTGGCAATACAATGTAAAATTGTCAATGCTTTCAAATTTTCAATGTAGAAAAGGCTTGTGTTGCCAACATAGTTGCTTACTAAATTACCGGTGCAAAGTTGGCACCCGAAAATCAAGCACACCTGATTTTCTCAGGAGTTCTGAGTACTTTTAGGATAGTTCTAGAGTTCTGAGAGGGGTGCAACAATAGTTCTCATGCCTAAGTATTTTTTTTTAAAAAAACAAAAAAAGGGGTGCTAACTTCGCGCCGCACCCCTTTTTGATAGTGCAACAGTTCTCGAGTGATTTTTCGGTTCTAAGGGTATAGTTCTAGAGTTCCTGATGGAAATTATGAATAGTTCTGCAAAAATAAAGCTAATATAACGGAAAAAGTTTTCAGGCGCGCAGGTCGCGCGGCGCGCCTCAGCCGTATTGCGGGACATAGCATCCCGGTACATCAGACATTACGCGATACATTTGAAGGCTGGTTGAGATGTATGGAGGCTGCTGGGGTCAGAACTATGGGTTATTTCTGCAGCATTCCATAGTTCTGGTGTCTACTATTACTCTACTATGGATAAATTTCAAAATTAACTGGGGTGCTGTGAAATACACCGCGTTTCCACGCGCATCCACGCTAAATTAGCATACTGGAGGCTGCTGGGGCCAGAACTATGGGTTATTTTTGCAGCACTTCCATAGAAATTTATCCATAGTAGATTAATAGTAGACACCAGAACTATGGAGTGCTGCAGAAATAACACATAGTTCTGGCCCCAGCAGCCTCCAGTATGCTAATTTAGCGTGGATGCGCGTGGAAACGCGGTGTATTTCACAGCACCCCAGTTAATTTTGAAATTTATCCATAGTAGATTAATAGTAGACACCAGAACTATGGAGTGCTGCAGAAATAACCCATAGTTCTGGCCCCAGCAGCCTCCAGTATGCTAATTTAGCGTGGATGCGCGTGGAAACGCGGTGTATTTCACAGCACCTCAGTTAATTTTGAAATGTATCCATAGTAGATTAATAGTAGACACCAGAACTATGCAGTGCTGCAGAAATAACACATAGTTCTGGCCCCAGCAGCCGCCAGCTTGCTAATTTAGCGTGGATGCGCGTGGAAACCCGGTGTATTTCACAGCACCCCAGTTAATTTTGAAATTTATCCATAGTAGATTAATAGTAGACACCAGAACTATGGAGTGCTGCAGAAATAACCCATAGTTCTGGCCCCAGCAGCCTCCAGTATGCTAATTTAGCGTGGATGCGCGTGGAAACGCGGTGTATTTCACAGCACCCTAGTTAATTTTGAAATTTATCCATAGTAGAGTAATAGTAGACACCAGAACTATGGAGTGCTGCAGAAATAACACATAGTTCTGGCCCCAGCAGCCTCCAGCTTGCTAATTTAGCGTGGATGCGCGTGGAAACGCGGTGTATTTCACAGCACCCCAGTTAATTTTGAAATTTATCCATAGTAGATTAATAGTAGACACCAGAACTATGGAGTGCTGCAGAAATAACCCATAGTTCTGGCCCCAGCAGCCTCCA